AACAACATCATATATAACTAATTTTAAAACTTATATAAATTTATTTCAAAAGAACTAGATCTTAACTATTTTCTATATTTATTCTTATCTAAAAAAAATTTTGAGTCTCTATAAAAATTAGTCACAAAAAGAAAAATGATCCCTTTACCTATGTCCTTAATATTTTTTTATATTTGAATGGTCCCTATTATTCAAATTAACTTCAAACATAGAATTTTGTAGAAAATAAAAATGATGTACCATGTTTAACATTTTTCAAAAGCTTAGGGGGGCGGCTGCCCCCCCTTGTCCTACACTAGCTCCGTCCCTGCATACGTGGCATCGTGCTAAGGCTATATATTCATATCGCTAAAGTACATCACAGCAAACGTGTTGGATAGTAACAAAGGACGGATTGTTGCAACAGCATTCACTGTCCAACATTAATTCCATCAATAACTCAGTGGGGTATGGCCGGTCTTGCAATGCCAAGGCGGCAACGGTTGTGGGAGGGGTGTTGTCAATGCTCTCGACAACAATGGCGTCAAGCAAGCTCATTCTTGGTGACAAAATAATGATTGATCATTTTCTGAGTTACAACCCTAAATACTCTGCAAGTAGATGAATATTAATCCCATCTGATGATGCCAATAATCATCTTTTTATCTTACATGACTTTTCTCTGATCAGATTTAGATGCACAAATGCGCATGCATGAAACATATATATTTGCCTGAGAAGGGTCATGTGCCTCATTAAAATCTTTCAGGGTCTCTTACATTTACCCTTGACAGACATTGTCTTGTAATAGAGCCCTATGGTGCCCTGGCCTGCCCCTATATCTAGGGTCTCGTAAATGGAAAATCACCCTTAGGACCATCCTAACTAGACTGTAAAAATCAGGAAATAAACCCTATTTAAACTTTATCGAACAAGGAATTAGTATGATATTGGATCAATAGATTACATGCATAAACTTGGTTTCAATAGAATTATGAGGAGCTATCTGAATTAATGAGGAGATGGAGATGGAGATGTAGAAAAGATAAAGATATACTTGTCGATACATCAAAAACAGTAAATAATTGAGATGTTTTTTATTTTTTTGACATTTCAATGGCAGACTGATCACAACCATATGTTATTAGCTATATATTTCCACCTTTCCAATGATGCTTCTTTTGACCATAAGGTAAGGACTTCATAGATACTAGAAAATTCCTGTCCCTAATGGACAAATTTTTTCGAAATATTATTGTCCTTGTGGATATATACGTTTACCTTGACTTAAAAGAGCTTAGATTTTGTCATAAGGATCGGAATTGTTTTCACATTACTTCCCAAAACAATTTGTACATAGAATAATTTTTTAATATTAAAAATATTAATACAACTGTAAAAACACTTGGTAATAATTTTATTTTCTAATCTTAATTTTTTTTTAATTGTTTTCGTGAGCACAACTTCATCCAACAATCCCAAACAAAACTTTAAATTTGTAGAAAATGTAGGATAAATAAAAAGCACTTTTACTAAAAGGGATCCAAAGGCACTTCAAAAGTGTGCTTTCAAATGGAGAAAAAGAAGGGTTCATATATTTCTCCCCAAAAAAATTCCCAAAGGGCAATGGGTACCCATGATTAGGTTTACTTTTCAGTCAACCTTTGGATAACTATGGGCCTCTCCCCTCTATAGAATCAAAGTTTCAATCGAGGGAAATTCTTGAAATTAA